TCCTGGCTTCTGTCAAGGAAACATTTCAAAATAATGCATTATTTTATTTCATTGACCACCTTGCAAAAGACAAACAGCAAACACATCACCACCAAAAACAAAAAAAAGTCAACAGGTAGGTACCAGCTGATCTAGCCGTGCTGTGTCATGTGCCTTTGAAAAACTTTAGCAGTCAGGGTTGAATAAACACCCCAAAGTTAGCCATTCATGCATGAACAAGTGCAAAATCTGGTCGAGCATTTTAATAAAAATTAAACCAACAGCATTGTAGGTTCCAATTATAAAAAAGACAATTACAAAAACGAAACAAAAATAACAGCAGAGCTTACTCTACAAGGCATAACCATTAATTTTATAACTGACATCCAAATTCGCATCTCCGAAGTTTAACCCACCTACCAGCTACCTGCATGTTTCTGCGCACACGTGCTGCGCAGTGTGCACAGTCACTACACATTACACAATTATGAGAATTAAAATAGTTTTGAACAATCAAACAAGTCAGGACTGGTATGCAGATTCACAAGTTCTCTCAACATCTTCAACTACCAACAATCAAGAGCACCTTGTGATCTCAGTAACTCCGCAGATCCATCTTCTGTTTTCCATTTTCAGTTTTCAATTGAAATATAAGTTCCATCTGGGGGACACATGTTGCATCATTATGTTTAAACAATTATCATGCTTGAACTTTTGGTTTTTCATGTGAAATTCACTTCAAAAGTTGATTCAATTTTTAAAGTTGATATAATTTGTATAATGCTACGATCACGGCGCACCAAATCACAGATAACTTGAAAATAACCAAGCAAAAGCCACATTCTTCAGCAAACTATGAGAGCTATCTGATCCATGCTGCATTGAAATAATTAACAATCGCCAAAATCAGTCAAAATATGACAATTAAATTAGTACAAACTTCATAAAACTTTTATTTGTGAGGCAATGCGCAACAGAAATGCGATGGAATATGGTAGTAATCTGGTAGCAATTATGAAGGATTTCCCCTGTAGCTGATAAAAATCACAAGAAACAATTTTTTTAACGCAGAGGAAATCCTTCATTATGAGTTGCAAGGACCATTTGATTGGCCCATTTTGGTCAAATATAGGCCGATTGTTTCGATTTCAACCCCATTTATCGTAATGAGACGAATCCATTGGCTTAGTGGTACGTCTTTTGAACACATATAGGCCTTGGATTTCTCCTTAGCCTGCCTGAAACACACCATGATTAGCATGCATTGCTATGGGTGAAGGAAAGTTCATGCGCCGTGATGACGTCACGGTAAAGGAATTCTGGAGCTCGTGAACGGGGGCTGGCCCCCCCCCCCCCATTGGGGCCCTTGTGGTGCCTCACGGGGCTAGAGAAATATGAGAGAAATTCTCGCGGCCGCCGGCATTTAGGCGATCTGCTCGTGCTTTTGTTACTGGGGCGCTTCTTTCACGGAGATTGCGCCGGACGAAAAATACTCTGCTTTGCAATCCGGCTGATCGTGGGAAAATACGGCCGGAGGTCTCCTCGGCTCTATGCAGGTATACCACCGGGAGAGATGTATAGTATATACCACTGGCTCGATGTATAGCCTGCAAGTTGGCTTTGGTGCAAACATGTTAAAGGAAATAGTTCACTTTTAACATGGGGTTTTGAGCTGGAATAGCAGTTTCGTAGCTTGAGCTGAGACTAGCACAAATCAGGAGCTTTTACGGCTCAACGATCACCCTAGACGAAGAAATTCCATTTCTCGTTCCGAAAAGAGTGCCTTGTAGAGGAATGCGTGCCTTGCACAGGAATGCAGCCACGTCATCGTCAGCCAATCAGCGTGCTGCTTACAGCCAATGCAGTATTCGTAGGTTTGAGCTACGCAATATGATTGGTCAATGCGTAATAAGCTTCCGCGTCAAACATTATTTTACATAGAATATAGTTCGCCCTATATTAAAATAAAGAAAATAATTGTTTTTACAAAAAGGTTTTATTTTATTTCATGATTATTTTGAGCATAAAAAATCATAAATCAATAGCAAAATACTGATTTCAGGAAAGTGGACTGTTTCCTTTAAACAGGGTATAGGGCGGATCAGACGTTCAATTGACAATTTCCGATTCTTATTCGATAATTACGGCCAATTATATTTTTTTAGGAAGTGTTATTAGGACCGTAGCATTTAGCAATAAAACTCATTTTTCCCCTGTCTCCTTACCTATCTCTCAAACCCCTTGCTCACTCAGCTTCGGCCTCTCTGTAGGTATCAGTCGTCTCCTTCCCGTCCTCCCCGAGTTTCTAACAATTGTAATATCCATATCTCGAAGTCTTTTCCTTCTCTCTCTCTCTCTCTCTCTCTCTCTCTCTCTCTCTCTCTCTCTCTCTCTCTCTCTCTCTCTCTCTCTCTCTCTCTCTCTCTCTCTCTCTCTCTCTCTCTCTCTCTCTCTCTCTCTCTCTCTCTCTCTCTCTCTCTCTCTCTCCTCTCTCTCTCTCTCTCTCTCTCTCTCTCCTCTCTCTCTCTCTCTCTCTCTCTCTCTCTCTCTCTCTCTCTCTCTCTCTCTCTCTCTCTCTCTCTCTCTCTCTCTCTCTCTCTCTCTCTCTCTCTCTCTCTCTCTCTCTCTCTCTCTCTCTCTCTCTCTCTCTCTCTCTCTCTCTCTCTCTCTCTCTCTCTCTCTCTCTCTCTCTCTCTCTCTCTCTCTCTCTCTCTCTCTCTCTCTCTCTCTCTCTCTCTCTCTCTCTCTCTCTCTCTCTCTCTCTCTCTCTCTCTCTCTCTCTCTCTCTCTCTCTCTCTCTCTCTCTCTCTCTCTCTCTCTCTCTCTCCTCTCTCTCTCTCTCTCTCTCTCTCTCTCTCTCTCTCTCTCTCTCTCTCCTCTCTCTCTCTCTCTCTCTCTCTCTCTCTCTCTCTCTCTCTCTCTCTCTCTCTCTCTCTCTCTCTCTCTCTCTCTCTCTCTCTCTCTCCTCTCTCTCTCTCTCTCTCTCTCTCTCTCTCTCTCTCTCTCTCTCTCTCTCTCTCTCTCTCTCTCTCTCTCTCTCTCTCTCTCTCTCTCTCTCTCTCTCTCTCTCTCTCTCTCTCTCTCTCTCTCTCTCTCTCTCTCTCTCTCTCTCTCTCTCTCTCTCTCTCTCTCTCTCTCTCTCTCTCTCTCTCTCTCTCTCTCTCTCTCTCTCTCTCTCTCTCTCTCTCTCTCTCTCTCTCTCTCTATCCGTCCGTCTGTCCATCTCTTTGTCCGTCTCTCCGTCCGTCCGCCCGCCCTTCCGTCTCTCAATCCGTCCATCCGTCCGTCCGTTTCTCCATCCGTCCGTCCATCCGTCACTCTCCGTCCGTCCGTCCGTCCATCTGTTTCTCCATCCGTCCGTCCGTCCGTCTCTCCGGATGTTCCTCCGCCCGTCTATCTGTCTTCCCATCCGCCCCGCCGCCCGCCCAAGGCCCTAAAACGAGTCCTCAAATTAATAGGTAGGGGAGAGTTACCATTATGCGCCCGCTTAAGCAGAAACTTAACCTGTGTATTGTATTGTATTTGTTGCATACCATCAACAGGTCCGAAAACCCAATAACAGACGGAGTCAGACATATAAAAACAATAAATACGACACACATTGTTAAAACTTCACACTGTATGGCGAACGAACACAGACACACACTTCATAAACCGAGAGCGCCTTCCAAAAATGTCCGCTCCAGGAGTCACCTGGTACAGGCTAGTAATCCGACGTGGTAGACGGCAAAACAATCCATCTTTGATGGTGCCTACTCTGGCGGCTGGGACATTCAGACAGGGCTGCGCGCGAGTTGCCCTGGCTGGGACAGCAAGTCCGAAGCTGCCCAGGATTTCCACGAAGTCAACACGGCCCCCGAAGACGCCATGTAGGAAGGCGAGGTCGTGTTGCGCCAGGCGCTGTTTGATAGTTAGAACGGCGAAGTGGAGCAATAGCTGTGCGTAGTCAAATGAGTGCTTAAGCAATGTGTCTGGTGAATGCGGTCTCTGCTTGATAACGATCGATGAACATTTTTCTAGTTAAATCTACTTCCACTCTTATAATTTAAGTACATTTTATTGGAACAAAAAACAAATTACGGTTTTCCTAGCCCCTGCAAAAGGTGCATTTAGGCACAGCATGCCTTAATTACGCCACGTGAAATAATGCATTAAAGTAAAAGAACCATGCAAAGTTAGCCCTTTATACTGGTCAGCGCGATAATGTTCCCCTGAATGTCCTTATTGGTCATGGTACGAGAATTTCTCTAGTTTCTGAAGAATTTTTCGGGACCCATGCTCTACTCATACTGGATGCGAATATACGCGTGACGTCAGCCGGGCGTGAAGTTTTCCCTTCACCATAGGCTTAACACACAAACTGGCCGAAGTTCATGCCAGGATAGCCCGGCCTGAAAGTGCAAAAATGATTAAATTTTGACCTCATTAGATTCATTTCTTCATTTTATAACTAAAAACGTCCATTATTAGGCCTCAATGAAAGTAAAAAGTACTCAAAATCGAAGCTCAAGAAGATGCTGTACGAGCACGATTTGGTAACATCACGTGACCTCTTTTCAGCAGATTGTATATAATTTAAGAATATAATTACACGATTGCTGCCTGAAAAATCATAAAGAATACACTTGTAGCATTTATTACTTCTGTTTTAGTCATAACATTGCAAAACGCAAAGTTTATCATGGCAGTCACGTGACCAAAGGTATAGCAGGGGGTTGGGACAAACACTCACAGGATTTCAAGTTTTGTAATTAAATTACATAAGTTTCATGATGAAATTGAAAGATTGTATTTTTTCCTAATAAAATACAAATTTTCGTTTGTAAAATATTTTCCTTATAAGCGAAATTCTCCATACAAAAACGCCTGTGACGTCACCAGGGCTTTACTCAAAACATCCGACCTACCTGTTTCTTATAGGTATCTTGCCCCCCCCCCCCCTCCCTACAATCCGCCAGTGTCATGCCCGCATATTGCAATGCGTTATACGGTGTCGCTGCCAGCACTGCAAATCTTGGGGCTGCTGCTCTCCGGCCAGACTTTATTCTTTGGGACAAGGACTGAAAATGACAATTTTGACACTGCGCTCGTCTGCCGGCTTGCTGTTGGGCGGCCGGTCTGGGCTCGCGCGGGCCTTGTCTCGAAGGCGGGCCGACCTGCCGCGGCGGGCGGCACTGTTCCGCTGCACGCCGCTGCGGCTCCCGGACCGTCCGCCGCCAGGCACGGCGCCGAAGTTACACAGCGCAGACACCCGTCCCGCCGTGGTCATGCAGCTGTATTTTGTCGTCATTGCGTCGACGGCGCGGTGCCAGGTCTCCAGCTGCCCTGGCTTCGCGGCCTGCTCGAGCACGTGTCGGGAGAACTCGGCGAGAGAGTCCTCCATCCGGCGCAGCAGATCGCCTTTTGGACCCGCTGCAGCCACGGCGGTCGGGCCAGCAGCGGCTGTGTCGGTGGCCGCTGGAAGGCCACCGTGCTCCTCGACCAACACCTTCTGGTAGAGCCTGATGGAAGGTGACAAACAGCAATTGAAGAGATGGATCTACGGCAACTAAGACTGATGAAAGTCTGGATACGCTTGTAAGAAAGTAGTGATCAGTAAATTGTAAGCCGTCTATTGACGTATGGAGATAGATGAGTAGGGAGACAGACACGATGTACAGTCCGTTCTTCTGGAAAACCGGTTAGCTCACATTGAATCGAAGCGATGAATAAGATTGTCAAAATGTCTTTTTAACACCGACAAGATAGGTGGACACGATCTGTTCCTCCGTTCCGGAACGCCGTTACAATTTTTAGGAACGGAGGAACGGACTCGTTACATTTTAAAAAGGGTAGCGGACCAAGTAACTTCCGTTACATTGGTTGCTCGTTCCTCCGTTACAGTTAAGCCCGTTCCTACGTTCCTCCGTTCTTCCGTTACTTTTCGTTTTCCGAGCGGGTTGATCTTTCAACTAACCCACAGACATGTGGCAGCGAAGTTTAAGTTTTATCGTATTCTAATGTGTTAGGTTTAGTAAACCTGAGACCAGTCACAGTTCAAGCAGGTCAAGTGCCAAGGCACAGACTTCTCTATATATAGAGACTTCTACAGACTTCTTCTCTATATAGAAAAGTCTGTGGCCAAGGCTATACCAAAAATTTGGCTCGAAGATGTCTTGAAGAAGGAAGATGGCCTCAGTGACCTGGCCTTCCGGAAGGAGCCGGCGTTGCAGCATGTCTTCGCAAATTTCAGCACGGGCGTCCCTTCAAGCGCCGAGCGCATGTTCTCGATGGGAAAAGACGTGCTAAGTGCAAAAAATGCTACCCTCTCAGATACCAACCTGGAACGTCTAGTGTTCGTAAAGGGCAACCGGCATTTGGCCGGGGACAAGTGACGCGTATCAGTACCACCAGACGTCCCAAGGTTTAGTGTCCGTCAGTGCCCGCTGTCTTGGTAGATTTGGTGGGCATTCCGCTTTCTCGGTGGGTTTAGTTTGTGTCTGAATGGTCTCAGAAATGTGTGAAGTATACAAAATTTAAACGTTTTTTTTTTCTTTTGTTGTAACGGAGTAACGGACTAAAGAACTTCCGTTACATTATTTGCAGATGAACGGAGGAACGAGTAACGGAAGTCACGTCATGAAGGAACGGAAGAAAGAGTAACGAAGTTACAATTTTGGGGAACGATGCCCACCTATGACTATGCATAGTGTTACCGAACTTGCGATCGATTTATGGGTTCAATTCCAACTTCCCGAGTGTCGTATATCGTTTTTAAGCCAAATTTAATATAAGTATTTGTCTAATTACAAAATATATCGATAGAACGTTAGACTCCGCGTAGTGAGAGGCTGAGAGGCTGAGAGCACGCATCCCGGTTATGAAAGGCCGCGTTCAAAGCGGTACAGGCGCCCGATGTTTATGAGCCTCCTGACGGGTATGGTTGCGGTTGCTGGCAGGCCATTACAGCTAAAGACAGTGAGGGGTTCGGCCGTGCGCGATTATGTGCGTACGGTAAACCTTGAACTGTAAATTCTGTCATAGAGCAGGAATTGGGTGATCGGAGGGAAGAGGGCAGGACCAACACAACAAGCTATAGCGGGGTGCTGTCCTTGTGAATCCTTTGATTCCAGACTAAATGCATACAAAACTGCTAGGTACCTAAATCCTATGTGCGCTAACCTATGTGCGCTATGTGCGCTTTTTTAAGTAGTTTACCTAGCTAATCTCGTGCTGTGTTCAACAAGATGTGTACAGTGAGAATCAAACTTGAAAAACGGACTATAATTCATCATAAAGCCACACGATCACATCGTTACAAACGGCGGATAATATTGAAAGATCAGATAGCAATTCAGTTCTCAGCTGAGTTGAGGAGGATACACTATCGAATACCGATTACCGGACGGTTCCGAAGCACACGCATCAAGGAAACTCTCGGATTTTTTTTCATATCGGCAGTGGCAGTTGAAAACATTTGCAGACATAAATTGTCTTAGCGCTGACTTCCCTGACATATTGCTCACAATGAATGGAAATAACCAGAGGCGAAAAAAAAACTAATTTTCGAAGGTTGAAAGAGCAGGAAGAAGAATCAAAAGGTAAAACGGAATGCATACAAGGATTATTACCGAGTAAATGTCTTTTTAGGGACATGTGCCAAAGAAAGGAAATTAAGGAATTTTAAGAAAATTTTCATAAGACAATATTCAGGAAAAACACATTCACACACAACGCAACAGACACAAAGCAAAAGCAGGCACCTACCTGTTGGCGTAGCCCAGATCCGGGAGAACGGCACGATCCGCGGAAACCGTGCAGTACTGCTCTCCGTGCTCAGCCTGGAGCTGCGCCCTGAGCGTTTTAAGGGCGGTGGAGGGTGAGTGGTGATGGCGGAAAAGATCCACCAGCCGCTCCCGGGTGGCCTCGCTGACGCGCCGGAACTTGAGTGCCGCCGCCGAATCCACAGCGTGATTGTGAGTTTTACCATTGCTCTGGACCCTCAGAGCATACCCGGCGTCCGGCTTCGTGGACCTGGGGCAAATGGGCCAAGTGTATTTGAACAGTGAATAAATGAACACGTCATTCCTTTGATCTGTCGCGTCCACTCGACGTATAGTTACATAAGGCACGACGGGCAGGTCAACAATACATATTACAACCGAATACTGAGAGCATAGTCTAAAATAAAATCATTTGCGCCGTGAATTTCTTGCTTCATTCATTTGCACATTTCTTCAATCAATGAACAGCTTTGAGCAGCATACGCATTTCTGTCGAATAACACGCATTTGACGTTGAGCTTTCTGGCGAAACCAACAGCAAACGTTCACCATTAATTTGTCGATTCTGACCCCTTCCTCCACTCGAAATAAAAACGGGGAAATTTCGAAATAATGAACAAAGAGAACATTTAACCCTATTAGTGGCAGGGGGGGGGGGTTGTTTTTATCCAACCCTCAGGTTTTTCGGGAATATCTCCGAAACCGCTGAAGCTACGATGCTGAAATTTTCTGACTTTTCCTAAAACTAAATTGGGCACATTTCCTGAAAATTTCAAGTTAATAACTTTACCAGGGGCGACTCCAGAGCACTGGGAATTGGGGGGTCCTATTCGTGAAGCGAGTCATTTGGGCGAAGATCACGATGCTGCACCAGTTTTACGAACAGTGAATGAAAGGTATCATGTGATAACATATACAGTTATTGTGCATCCTCTTTTGACACGTTTTTGCTATAATAGGCGGATCCAGGCGTCCAAAAAGGGGGGTTATGTTTTACCTCCCAACATAGGTGCCCTGACACCGCCTATGCATGACCAATACAATTGTAGTCGTTCTCTCATAAGAAAATTGTAACATAACAAGACCGTTACCACCCTTTTTAGAAACAGTACCAACAAAAACCTTATTTACTATACTTTTTGTGTACCCCCAATCTGAATGATCTGTATCCGCCTATGATTTTTGAAAATGCATATTTTTAGGATCCATGTGAATTCCTGGTTCATTCTCTATCGATCGGCAAAAGTTGCGTTAAGATTGGTTCAGAAACCTGGCCGTGATAAACAGTCTAAAATGTATCTGCAATTTGCCCGTTTTTACCCCCCTCTACCCCCCTATTGACATTTTTTAATTTTTATTTTTTAGAAATGTAGATCACGTTGAGCGAAATCGAATGCCGTTTGAATTTTGAAAATCGGCCCGTTAGATCTCGAGATATCAAGGGGGGGTCGTAAACAGCCCCCCCCCCCCTGCCACTAATAGGGGTAGCCAGGAGCCTGCCACTAATAGGGTTAAGGTCAATGACCTTGACCTGAACTTCAGATGACCTTGACACCCGTCATAATGCATAGGAAAAACAGCATTTCACATGTTGAAAGTTTACCAACCACAAACAGACTGGAAACGCACAGCTAATGTGCGTTGGGATACGCCAAATCGCGATTTCCGCCTGACATGGTCTCGAGAGATACCTTGGTAACAGGTCAAAGGTCATTTGGGTTGGGCCAGGCCTACCTGCTTCCCGAGTGGCGGGAGTTCTCAAAAGACACCTTGCGGACCCTCAAGTGCAAGATGACTTGACAGCCGGCGTCTCGCGCACTCTTCTTTGCCTTTCCCGCGGCCGGTGCTCGGCCGTAGCGATGGCATTGCACTCGTTTCTGTTGATGTTATTGCAGTCAAAATCGTAAAATTGCCCTCCTGTCAACACTGCTCGTTTAGAAGACACCTTGCATCTAAACACTTAAGTTAACACTTTGTCCAGCATTTTAACGTTTGAAAAGGTGGTTTGTCATTGGCTATTCGAAACAAGTTCTCATCATGTACTATTAACCCTCGCCGGCACAGGGGGGGGGGGGGGTGTTCATGCAACCCCTAAGGATTTTCGCAAATAACTCGCGTAAAAAGCGGCCGATCGCGACGAAACTTTCAGTACCCTCGCGTTAATTAATTTGACACCTACCCTACAAATTTCATGACCCTGAACCAAATGACCTTTGACCTGTAGGCTGTAACCTATTTCTCGAGACCATGTTCGGGCGGAATCGCGATTCGGCGTATGTCGGCTCGCATTAGCCGCGCGTTTGCAATCTTTTCGTGGTTTCAAGCATTCAAATATGTGATATGATGTTGGTCAAGTGCATTACGGTGGGTGTCAAGGTCACCTGAAGGTCAGGTCAGGTCACTGGCCTTTGATGACCTCAGTCACACTTCACTTCTTCGAGTTTTACATGTCTCTGGGCTAGTTTTTGGAGCTGAGTTCGAAATAAGCAAACATTTGAACATTTACGAAGTAGTTTTCGTGCCTTCGTAACATTTTACGAAGCTGTCAGAGGCGGGTGACACCTAGTACGAATACCCGGCAGGACCCCTACTGGTTGACCCGACCTGGCCTAAATGCATGAAGGCAACATCTGTGATCAAAACTAACATGATATTCGTGATCAGCACCCCGAAAAAAATCATAGCAGCCACACTTTACGACGTTCTAACAGGTCCCGATTTTCCCGACTTTTGGGTCATTGACCTGACCTCAGAAGTCAACATTTGACCTCTGACCTTAAAGCCGGGTACCGTTGGCTTCCTTTCGTGACGACCTACACGATGCTTTTTCTGCGAGACTCTAGCTCAATTAGGGGCCAAACGCGAGGGGGGGGGCGTACCAGCCCCTTTGTGCCGTCGAAGGACACAAAATGGCCTGTGCCGGCGAGGGTTAAGAATAGATGCTTTACCAACTGTAACAAGAAGACACTGGCCAAGATAAACAGTTGCAGGTGCGTTTGACTTTGGCGACAGTTTGACAGTGACGTACGTGAAGCAGCACCCAGGCGTTCTTCTGCTTCCCTTTTGCGGTGGCCAGCGTCGAAAAAGACGTCTTCGTGGCACTCTCGAACAGTCTGAGCCACTGCAGGGCGCTTTCTTCGGTTGGTGAGCACCGGACAGACACTGTGGCCCCCGATAGCAGTTCCTGCATCAGAAGAGTAACAAAACAACATTACACAACCCGAGCCGTTTTTACGCTATTTGTGAAAAACCTAGGGGGTTGCATCAACCCCCTGGCTGGGCGAGGGTTAAGTTATGATGCCTAAGCATATCACAATAATCTTCCATAATGCATTTGGGATAATTGATGCAAGTGTGAATACCTATATTGCACCACCGATATATTTAAGACGTGCCACACTTAGTTACAAACCCATAGCAGACGCAGAGATCAGTCGCCAAAAAGGTACTTGCATTCCCTCGCCAAGACATTATATTTTTACAGGAGGTGTGTGAGGAGTAGAGGCAGCATTAAAGTTAAATCGTCAATGGTTAACCAGCGCAGGACTGGGGTATTATTTTCCATATCGTGGCTGACCGCTGACTGGGAGAAAGCCCCCTCCCCCTATCTCCAAAACTACTGGGCCGATTGTCCAAATTCAAACAGCGTCTGATAGCTCTGGACAAACTGTCCAGCGAAACCTTATTTCATTCACCTCGAGGTCACTGATGACGTCACAGGTCAGGTCAAAGTACAAATTATCAACATTTTGGTTTGTTCACAATTTAGAATCTGGTTGCCGGCTAACACGTCCGAGTACACTCATTTTTGGTTTGCGCACTCGTTGATACATGCTGAAGATACCCTGAGGGTATCTTCAAATTTCTTCTACTACTTCTACTACCTAACTTCTACTTCAAATTTTTCAGGTCAAGGCCAGGTCATTCATGGTCCATTTCACTCATAGATTTCGAAAACAGTATCGTCTGTGTCATTTGGGGTCATTTTCAGCTGAATTTAGCTGAGGTCAGGTCACTTTCAGCCTTCAGGTCAAAAAGGTCAAATTCTGAAAACGATTTTTTTTCAACAAAAAAAAAAGTATATCGATAGGAGTTTGAGCTCAGGAAAACGTTGGTGCTATTTGTATTGCTGTGCAATGTCAAAAACGTAGGTACTGAAAAATGGATTTGAAAAATCAATAATTGTAAAATTTTGACTATAATGCGTGCCTAGGTACAGGCATCGGTAGGATTGTGATTGCAGGATTGCAAAATCCTGATTGCATTCCTTTTTGGTGGATTGCACCTGGATTTGAAATCCATTCCCAAAAACAGGATTTGATAGCGGATTGGATTGCATCATGCTTCCAATTTTTGCAATCCAATCCGGATTGTGTTTGATTAGTGCTTTGAAATGGTTTGTTGCGATTGAAAATTATGAGATCGGCTTCATCGGCTTAATGTACTTTGCTATATCAAGGGTTTTACATCGAAGCTTGAAATAATTTAAACGCTTTTAATTTAAACGCTCAAAATAATATACGCTGATGAACTACGTAGAAAGGGCAAAATTACGTGTTTGAGGGCGAGTTTTAAAATATAAAACACTGGTTGGGTAGACGTTTAAATGTGGGGGTGTTTGAGGCAAAAAATATTTCCCATAAAATACCTGTGCCTTAGATAAGAATTACTCGCAAGACTAGGTACTAGTAATGGGTGATTTGGGGATGAGGCACGGCCCTATGCCCCCTCCCTCCCCCAGATCCAATAGTGCACATATAATACAACAGGATTGCAAAAAAGGATTGCGGATTTGATCACAATCCAAGTGAAAAAAGGGGATTGCGGGTAGGAATGCAATCCACTTCGGCACTAGGAATGTGGATTGGGAATGCAATCCTTTCAAAAAGGATTTTTCCGATGCCTGCCTAGGTATAACTTAGCCATTTTTTAAGATATTGGGCTAAAACTTTCAAGAGTAGGTGATCGCTGGTAGTAATTTTACACATGCTTATTCCAGTTTTTTGAATATTCAAAAACCTAAATAACAATATTTTTGAAATAGTCTGTTTTTCCAAATTCTCAAAATTTTGAAAATCCGAGATTACAGTTTGTTAGCCACGTGTATTCTCAGTTCACTCATGCAAAGAAATTGCAGCTAGCTTAAAAACTGAACTCTTAACCCGCGCCCTGATGGGGGGGGCCATTTTGGCCCCCCCCCCTGTGGTTTTTCTTAAATAGCGAGGAAAACGGCGGCGCGCAGCGCCGCCAAATTTTGGGTACCTTACCGGGCATCAATTTGACACCTTCACACAAAATTTCAAGTCACAGGTCACCTCAGGTCAGGAGTTATTGAGGTCAAACTGAGGTCATGTTCGAGTAAAAATGAGCAAAAAACATGACATCTTGAAACGCTCACCAATTCTACAGTTAACAAGCAATTTTAAAGTTCTTTATGTGGTTGTGTAGAGAAAAGACGGCGCTACAAAACTGCTATCTCGGATTTTCAAAATTTTGGGATTTTGACCCCCAAAAATAAAAAAAAATGATTTTTTTAAGAAAAACTCAAAAAATTTCCAAAAACTTTTCGAATTTCGAAAAAAACCGGAATATATGTGATAGTCCCTGCGCTGTTCGATATACATACCAAATTTTAGATCGATACCTCTTTTTTTGGCCAAGTTATAGCGAAAAAAACTGTTAAAAATTGATGACTTCAAATTTTTGAACCCAATTTTTAGCAATTCTAGACCTCGTAGCGCAAAACGGAGACCACCATTGAACTCCCCGTGACGAGCTGCATCGAATTGATACCCATTTTATGCAAAAATATCAACTTTGAAATTTGACCTAATTTGACCTGACCTTGACCTGACCTTGACCTGACCTTGAACAAAACGTGACCTAAGCTGGCCCTAAAGTCTGTCTGACCCACATAATCGCATTTGTCATGTAAAATGGACCATAAAACATGTGTCACACGACACTTTCATATTGTGACCCCCCCAGTGACCTGACCTCTGTGACCTGACCTGGTATCAGTGACCTCAAATAGCAAAATATGTGTTTGAAGAACATTTCCCCATCGATGATTTTCAATGAAATGCATTTTACTCGATTTTACAACGCATTTCTTGAAATGCCTGTAAACGGTGAAAATTCGACCTTTGACCTGACCTGTGACGTCATCGGTTTGACCGAGGTCAATGAAATTGGGTCACAAGGTAGTTCCCCGTTGGGGCTATCCAACACCGTTTACCGCTTGTCGCTATGTTGCGTGGTTCTCGAGATCTGAGGGGGGGGGGGCCAAAATGGCCCCCCCCCATCAGACCGCGTTGCTCGGCAGACCCCATCTGGGCGCGGGTTAATAGCAATTGCCGTAGTTCAAAGTTTTGTATCAAAATCGGCCAACATGACATCACTCTGACGTCATTTCCGGCCGACCTATGGTAGCTAGAACATTGTAATTTGGACACAATGTTTCAAATTGATGTTGCTGAAGCTACTGCAAGTTTCGTGTTGATACGTATAGCGATTTAGAAGATATTGCGGGAAAAAAGGGAGGGAGCTCTGTAGAGCCCCCCCCAGTCATGCGTCAGTTTATGATTTAATAAAAGTGACAAGAATCTGAAAAGTAAAAATAATTATCATCCTAACCAGCATTCATGCAAACTCGGATGCAACATTCAGTTTCAAGACAATCTTTGCTTACATACCTCTTCAATATCTGGGATCATGTCCAGGCGCTCACACAAGATGTAAGTTTTTCCATCGCTTGTCGCCACCTTGCGATATTCTTCCTGGGGGAACAAAAGATCACATAAAAAAGAACCACTGAAAATGAGCATAGCTAACTTGCCTTTAAACTTAAGGTAGAGCTTTGGAAGTAGGAGCAATAGGAGCATTACAGTTCTCCACTGACAACATCCTATCATCCTTTGTACATACAATGCAAGGTGTTGAGGCAGAGGAACCCAACCAGGTAAGATTACCAGGTAAGGTAACCACAGCAAAAACACAGATCAAGCTTCATACACATGATATACCAATATGTCTTTCAGCTTAGACAAGACCTCAGAAGCCTCAAAATCTGCAAAGTATGGCAATTTCGATGAGCTCCTGTTGGTGTGGGCTTGTTCATCAGGTGCAGATTTGGTGAGTTGTGATGCAGATTTGGCTTGGTGTGTTGCAGATTTAGTGTAACATGGTACAAATATTGATGCATCCACAACAAATACCTTCTGAGCCTCTAGCAGCATTATTCAGCTCAGCAGCAACTTTTGGGCCCAAAGCCAAAAGTTTGCATGTGTCAGACTGTTGTTGCCCATGCTTGTATGCCAGTGCCATTTGACTGAAGTCAGCACTGAATTCAGGCTGGTCATTTTATAGTCAGTGCAGATTTTTGGACTTTGATGTGAATTTCCCAGCTCTGTTGGAGAGGTTCCTCAGTGAGAATTTTGGGTACAGTAGGTACCTATTTACCAAGCAGGCATCACAGATCACACTTTATTTATTTTTGCAGCCTAGGAGAGGCACTGTAAGTTAAGTTGTGGGTTTTAGGTTTTAGGTGGTAGGTTTTAGGCTGAAGGTATAAGGTTAGTTCAGGTTTGGTTAGGTTTGCTTTGGTTTGCTTAGAAAGCATCTCTGGGTATAGTGCCTCTCCTTGGTAAAAAAACGAGTGTGACACCTGCTTTACGACTTCCAAATTTTGAACTTGAGCCAACGCGGTAAACGCGCCTTGTCGGCCTGTGAGGCTACTTTGCAGCTTGCACTGCAGCATGGCTCGGAGAAGACTCAAAATTTGTCAGGATTCAGTCACGAGCACGCTGCTAATCATAACACCTCATCTTATCATCTTACCTTTTCAAGCATCTTGCAACATAAACCACCAATCCAGCCCAACATCAGTGACGTAAAAGTGCTCTTGAAAATCCTGTCCAAGGCTAATGTAGGTAATTCACAGTCCTGGATTAACGTCGCCTCGCCGGTGCAAAAAGCAAGCATAAAGAACTTCGCATAACAGCTCTTATAAATATAAATATTAGAAATGACCGGTAAAATCCTATCGTAAAATCTGATTAAAATTCATTCATCGGCTGTCTGCTAGACGCAGAGAGCCAATGAACAGCTAAGTTTGTCTTTCACCACCATACTGTGAGCAGCAGCAATTAAAAGAAAACAGAGATCATGCGCTGTTTTTGTAACTCATGCGCCAAATACCGGTGACATTATTTGACTGAAATAATTCATGGATGGCTGTGATGAGCATCGTTATATAGTGGTTATATATACCTACTATGTAATACGAGAAGACAGAAGTAGTAGCCTTTGCTCATTACGAGCGAGCGAGCGCAGCGAGCGAAGCGAAGTCTTTTCAATATAACGGAAAAATCTCAGTATGAGCGGCCCGGCCCGGCCCGGCCCGGCCTGTAACGCTTTTGAGAGGCTTATATCTCAGCAACCGCTGAACCGATTGGCCTGCGGTCTTTTTTGCTGGGTAGCCCCATCCCTTCTATCCCGTAATTGACTACTTTTGACACATCTCAGTGACCGTCGTGGCACGTGCCACGTGAAAAGTCAAGGGTGTTCAAGTTGTTTTGCAAAAGTAGTGATTTTGAAAGGCTCATATCTCAGCAGCCGCTTGGGCGATTGTCTTGCGGTAATTTGTGTAGGGTAGCTGCATACCTTCTACCAAAGGTCGGATACTCTTGATCTATGTGAGTGACCCCCACTGCACGTGCAAAATACAAAAAGAAGAGGTGTCAAATTTGTCCCCATTTCAATAACTCGGTAATTACTGGGGCGATTTCGCTGAAACTTGGCATACAGGTAGGCACCCACCAGGCAATGCATTCCCATGTGTTGCGGTTAGGGTGCTACTGCACGTGCGCACGTGCAGGGGGCGCTTCCAGATCTCGAGAACGGCTGGGCCGATTGCGCTCAAATTTGGTACACGGTTGGGGACCGGTTAGTAGGGTGCCGTGCAAAAGTCAGTTTGGACCCCGTTTGCACGTGCGCACGTGCAGAATGCCGCTTCCAGATCTCAGGAACGGCTGGGCCGATTGCGTTCAAATTTGGCACACCGCTAGCGACCGGTTAGAAGGGTGCTTTGCACAAGCCCCGTTGGAAGTACCCTCTCGCCCTTCCGCACGTGCAGGGCTCACTATCTCGCTCGCTCGTATTTCGCCCAAAAGGCGTTTTACTGGTATTAATGTTCAAATAATGCACAAAATTGGATATATTAAAATAATACTGATATTTCGCCTTGCGGCATCATCAGAGTACCTACACATATACAACTTTAGGTTTAACAAAATGCAAGAAAGAAAGAGACACCGGTGCGACTTTACCACGGGAACAAACGCCAGTCGATAGTCAAATGTTGTCCTATATAAGAACATTGAAAGAACCTATGACATACGTTGACTACATTCTATACATATGATAACAAATACATGTAACAGTACGGTAGAGCTAAGAACAAACACACAACAGCAATAGGAGACGATGTACAGACTGCAGAGTCCAGAGACCTATACCACACACCATGTCGGTCAGACACCAGAGGGCTACACTAGTAGAGGCCATGCATCTAGCTGATTGTTCAGACTGGGACGCCTGTCGGCTGTCCCGAATGGCCAGAGCCTCTGCTATCTTTCTGTCTGCTGCATCTTTGCACCGGCGTAGGATGGAGACAGACAGCCGTGGCTCTGACACATTTGGGTGACACTGTTCCATATGATCCCCAAATGGGGTCTGCCGAGTGCGATTCGCGCCGTCACGAAAATGCTCATCGAATCTATATCTGGTACACCGTTTGGTTTTCCCGATATAGATTTGCGGTGGTCCTCCCAAGTCAGCACATATGGTGCACGTGATTTTGTACACCACGTTCTTAGTGGTGCACCGACCCGTCAGACCACTGGTGCACGTGCGGCATGAACGCTTTCCAGCGCGGCATGGAGGTGGGTCTAACGCCGAGTGAACAAGGCGTCTTTGGATGGTGTTCTCGTTCTTCCAAGACGCCGTGAGACTCGGATTGACTTATTTTAAGGCAGCATCTACTCTCCTAGTCAGGGTGTCGTCTATGAAAGGAAGGGTAATATATTCCTGCCCGGGGCCGGGAAGGGATGATTCAATAAATGTCACCGAGTTTTTTTAGCGAAAAATCCGAGGGCCGTTAGGCCCGAGGTGATTTTGCTAAAAAAGCGAGGTGACATTTATTGAATTCCCGGCCTTAGGGCTGGAAGGTGTTTCCCATACCTGCCAAAAAGCTCACAACTATATGATAGTGACGTCAGCAGCCGTGTGGTTCAACGTGTTTAACAACACCCCTTGAACCACACGGCTTGTAATATTAAAGCATTGCATTAAACTTTGAAAAGTGTGGTACAGTGCACGTGCCGTTTAAATGCCTGGATGTCTCGATTTAATCATGCAATGTAGCAGGTATGGATGTAACGGAAGTTAGCCCACATTCAGCCCACATTCGGCCCAGCCCAGATTGGGGCTGCCAAATCTAGGGAAAAATATAAAAATCTAGGGAAAAATCTAAAAACCGTTTTACGCCTAAACGGCTGGACGAAACTGGAAAATAAGACCACCATTTGAAAGATCTCTTCACCCCGGACCTAATGATAAGGTTAAATACCGGATCAATTTAACCAAAAGCATGATTTAACCAGGATGAAAATTTTCGGTCAATAGGGCGGCCCCTACGATTTTCTTCAAAATCGGCATGGTGATACTACTGGCCCAGATGATCAATCTGGCTGAAGAAACCCCTATGGGCATTGAAATCTATGGGGTAAAAACGCCCTTGGAAAGTTTACCCACGAATTTCTGGCAAGTGTATCGCACGCATCCCCCCAATATGGGTATCATATGAGAGCCCATGAAAACCCAAACAAAATGGTGGGGTAAAATTTACCCATTACCCCATCCAGGGTAGAGTTTACCCAAGATGAAAATTTTCGGTCAATGGGGCGGCCCCTACGATTTTCTTCAAAATCGGCATGGTGATACTACTGCCCCAGATGATCAATCTGGCTGAAGAAACCCCTATGGGCATTGAAATCTATGGGGTAAAAACGCCCTTGGAAAGATTTACCCACGAATTTCTGGCAAGTGTATCGCACGCATCCTCCCAATATGGGTATCATATGAGAGCCCATGAAAATCCAAACAAAATGGTGGGGTAAAATTTACCCATTACCCCATCCAGGGTTAAGTTTAGCCAAGATGAAAATTTTCGGTCAATGGGGCGGCCCCTACGATTTTCTTCAAAATCAGCATGGTGAAACTACTGGCCCAGATGATCAATCTGGCTGAAGAAACCCCTTTGGGCATTGAAATCTATGTTGTAAAAACGCCCTTGGAAAGATTTACCCACGAATTTCTGGCAAGTGTATCGCACGCATCCCCCCAATATGGGTATCATATGAGAGCCCATGAAAACCCAAACAAAATGGTGGGGTAAAATTTACCCATTACCCCATCCAGGGTAAAGTTTACCCAAGATGAAAATTTTCGGTCAATGGGGCGGCCCCTACGATTTTCTTCAAAATCGGCATGGTGATACTACTGGCCCAGATGATCAATCTGGCTGAAGAAACCCCTATGGGCATTGAAATCTATGGGGTAAAAACGCCCTTGGAAAGTTTTACCCACGATATTCTGGCAAGTGTATCGCACGCATCCCCCCAATATGGGTATCATATGAGAGCCCATGTAAACCCAAACAAAATGGTAGGATAAAATTTACCCATTACCCCATCCAGGGTAAAGTTTACCCAAGATGAAAATTTTCGGTCAATTGGGCGGCCCCTACGATTTTCTTCAAAATCGGCATGGTGATACTACTGGCCCAGATGATCAATCTGGCTGAAGAAACCCCTATGGGCATTGAAATCTATGGGGTAAAAACGCCCTTGAAAAGATTTACCCACGAATTTCTGGCAAGTGTATCGCACGCATCCCCCAATATGGGTATCATATGAGAGCCCATGAAAACCCAAACAAAATGGTGGGGTAAAATGTACCCATTACCCCATCCAGGGTAAAGTTTACCCAAGATGAAAATTTTTGGTCAATGGGGCGGCCCCCACGATTTTCTTCAAAATCGGCATGGTGATACTACTGGCCCAGATGATCAATCTGGCTGAAGAAACCCCTATGGGCATTGAAATCTATGGGGTAAAAACGCCCTTGGAAAGATTTACCCACGAATTTCTGGCAAGTGTAACGCACGCATCCCCCCAATATGGGTATCATATAAGAGCCCATGAAAATTTCAACAAAATGGTGGGGTAAAATTTACCCATTACCCCATCCAGGGTAAAGTTTACCCAAGATGAAAATTTTCGGTCAATGGGGCGGCCCCTACGATTTTCTTCCAAATCGGCATGGTGATACTACTGGCCCAGATGATCAATCTGGCTGAAGAAACCCCTATGGGCATTGAAATCTATGGGGTAAAATCGCCCTTGGAAAGATTTAACCACGAATTTCTGGCAAGTGTATCGCACGCATCCCCCCAATATGGATATCATATGAGAGCCCATGAAAACCCAAACAAAATGGTGGGGTAAAATTTACCCATTACCTCATCCAGGGTAAAGTTTACCCAAGATGAAAATTTTCGGTCAATGGGATCAGATTGATCATCTGGGCCAGTAGTATCGCCATGCCGATTTTGAAGAAAATCGTAGGGGCCGCCCCATTGACCGAAAATTTTCATCTTGGGTAAACTTTACCCTGGATGGGGTAATGGGTAAATTTTACCCCACCATTTTGTTTGGGTTTTCATGGGCTCTCATATGATACCCATATTGGGGGGATGCGTGCGATACACTTGCCAGAAATTCGTGGGTAAATCTTTCCAAGGGCGTTTTTACCCCATAGATTTCAATGCCCATAGGGGTTTCTTCAGCCAGATTGATCATCTGGGCCAGTAGTTTCACCATGCCGATTTTGAAGAAAATCGTAGGGGCCGCCCCATTGACCGAAAATTTTCATCTTGGGTAAACTTTACCCTGGATGGGGTAATGGGTTAATTTGACCCCACCATTT